TTCCGAGCCTTTTTCAAGACATCATCATGTGAGGGTAGCGTAATTGTTATTGACGCGGAAAGAGGATCCGGCGAGCTGAGTTCAAATCCTGACCGTGTTTGTTATGTTGATTTTTGCAATAATTTTCTTGGAGGAAGGCATGAAGAGAAGAACAGGTTTGAATTTAAAACAGGAAAAATAAGAAACCGTATTTCCAAAGAGGTCATGGAAATACATAAATTCCTCGATCTAAATAAATGAAACAAATCGATCCTATAATTGAATCCCCATGTGAAAAAAAAGAAACAATAAATAGCTAGTTTCCTTTTATTTACATTATTCGGACTATTGTCCTCATCTTTGTCGCCATATTTATTACAACGTTTCGGCCGTCTTCTCCGGTCTTCTTCAGGTGGTTGGAATGTCGAACTGAACCCTTTATTTCGCTCACTGAGGTAGATTGTTCGAGTTCCACGTGCCATGTTTAATGGATGTCAGTTATCTCCTGTTAATTTTCCCTCTGAAAGTTCTCCACTGCCTTAACCGGGTATTGAACTCACACTCTTTGGGTCCTGACACTGGATCTAACCAACACCTTTATCCACTGAGCCATGTGTCCTTGAGGACATATGGCACAGTGCCTTTAATTTCCTTTTCCTGATATTTTAATTCAAACTGATATTAATTTAAAATTAAACGTTTACTTTAAGTCGGCAAATAAACTAAAAAAAATGGTACCAGGAATGAATGTTCACGAGAACAGAACCAGAGACTTCTCCCTCCTTGGGTGAACTCCTCATTGATTAAGCATGTACCCAACACTGGATCATTTGCGGGCTTGTGAGGATATTTACCCTATCGTAGGAGGATTTGAATTCAAAGTTGTCCTTTTACAACGGTTGCAACCTAAGGCCCAATCTGTACTGCTATTTATACATATGGGGGAAGACGGGTAACTCATATCTTCCCCCAGGGTGGATAAGTGAATGCAACGAATTCGACTGGAATTCGAACTCGGCACTTCGATTTCTCAGTCGGTGCCGCTATTCATTACTCTACCCAAATATTTATATCCTCAGAAATTTCTGCTCACAACAACAATGAAAAACTGAATATAATTTACTCAGATGAACATCTATTGAAATTGTTACGGTTTATTAGTCGCCGACAATAAGTACACGCTTGGCTTACTTCAGTTTATCCGCCATTGTTACTCATTTGTACTGAAACAATGTCGGATACATAAATGTTGAAGAAAAATAAATTGAAATAAAAAAACGAATTAGAGAAAATCTAATTTTCATAACAATACAACTCAAGTGAAAAGCAAGGATTCATGTGCTTAACGTGAATCATATATATATATATATATATATATATATATAAGTAATCCACAGACACACAGTTTTGGTGTATCACAGGTTATCAGTGTAGCTCGACATCCGATTGCTTCAAGCTGGGATCGAAACCCGAGTGATTTGGCATCAGTCAGAGATTCTACCCTCAAAGCTATTGTCGCACGGCAAAACGAAAGGGAAATTGTTACTTATTCGCTATGCGAAATACGTCAGTAGCTAGGGGAGCTCGATTCGAGTAGAAGAGCATTGCATTAGCAGAAGCAGCCACTGTTTGTAAAAATCACCCCTTCCTGTTCGAGATCTCAATCGAATTACTTCGAGAATATATATATATGACAAAGTAGAAAAAAGTTTTTCTTGTGACGCATTTCGTCTTTTAGGACTTCAGCGTGCTATATGTGCTATGTTGGTACACGCATGCGCACGAACGAGAGATGCCGGGATTTTTTTTTTATCTAGCCAATTTTATTTCGATCTTTTTTCTTTTTGTCTCCATCACTTTTGTTATTAGAAAAGTTATTACTTTTCTATAATTTTCATTTTGTTATTAAAACAAAAATTAAATTTAAAATCTTGCCTAAACGAAGTAAATAATTTTCATATTCAGTGTTAAACATTAATTTAAAAAAAAACAAAAAAAAACTGTTTTGTTATTCATTTCCATCTCTGGTGTTTTGTAATCATTATAGGCAAGCGATTGTTTAGATCACTAAATTTTATAATTGAATTGCTTTCAATTAAAGCCATTTTCTGTCCTGGAAATGGTAACAATCCTAGCATTTAGATCACTGTTTGGGAGCAAACAAAATTATAAAGGAAAGTATGTTGACATTTTAATAGATTTTTTTTGAAAATTTAATAAATATTATAATCTATAATAGTATAACACGCTGCGTATGAAAGAAGTGACTACCAACTTGTTTAAAATTTCTTGAACTCTTAATTATGACATTTTTACTAATATAATTTTTAAGCATGCGCAGATCTCTCAAAGAAATGATTGCGTAGTAGATTACCGTAAAGGGAAGGATGTTGGCCAACGCAAGGTCGGATATCATTGCCAGTATTAAATCAAGCATACAAAATTCAATTATTCGCTTTTGAATTGCATCTTCTATGCACAAAAAAAGCACCCCCCCAAAAAAAACAAAAAAACAAATTTGCCTGTTTGCTGAATTTATTTAAAGATAAAAGCAAATGTTTTATCGTCAAAACCTAATGAGGCGCTTTCCGCGTTTCACAAAGTATAGAACAAGATTAAATTTCTATGATTTCTGAATACAAGAAACATTATCTACCCACGTGAATTGCAGCCGCGTCGTTAACTTCTTAGTCCTTCAGCAAGTATCGATCCCACGACTATTCGTTTCACTAGCACGTCACAAGATAAACAACCACCAGAATGTTTGAAATAATTATTATAATGTTTTAATTACAATCTAATTCTGCTAAAACCATTGAACTGATAACGCATAATTTTTCAAAAGAATGAAACGACAGCGTAGCATTTTGGAGCAATGGAGAGGAATTTGGCCTGTGCAAAATCGGGTATATGGAGTCATGAAACTGCGAGTTACTATACGCTGTTGATTCCCATGTCCACATTGCCCTATCACCCATACTGAGCACTCTTCATTTATAAACACAATATAGTAAATTTTAAATTTATATATATATATATATATATATATATATATATATATATATATATATATATATATAATGTATGTTCTAGTCATCTGAAGATCCCAAAGAGAGCGTGAAACTCAGGTAACGATTTGGACTCCCCTTTGACGTGGACGTTGTGAAGAGTTTTTGGCTCTGTCTACGTAATCTGGGCGTTGGGCAATTTACTGAATAGGTAGGTTTTTACCTTTTGGTATTTCTTTCTTTTTTCTTTCATTGTCCCAGATATTTTCTGGCCTAAAAGTGTTACGTCGTCTGGCTACAGGTCACATTAACATAGTTGGTATTTCTTTTTAGTATATATATATATATATATATATATATATATATATATATATATATGTTTTTCTAATGAATGCTCAGCACATTGTCAACCGTTTGCATTAAAAGCATCATGAAAAAAATTACGGTACTGGATAGCAAGGCACAGCTTTGTATAAATAATTGAACACCTGAACAACATATAATTTTGTACTACTTGCAACCCTGAAGATGATCTTGGAAGAAGATCGAAAGTACTTAGGAAATGAAAATAAAAGAAATTTCCACAGTGAGAGCACATTTCTCTCATCCTTTAACGTCAATGAAGAGAAGGTTATTCGTGAGTATGAACGGATTTTGTTAAAAATTAGCAGACATAATGTCTGTAATTTATTCAATCAGACATGACCAAAAAGGAATTTGCTGCCTAAATACACACACACACACACACACACACACATATATATATATATATATATATAGGATGTATAAATAATGCTTTTACAAACTTTGGGGATGGATTGTTCATATCAAATCAAGGAAAAAGTTCTTATAAACATATGTCCACAAATCCTTTCGTTTAAAGAAAGATTGCAATAGATCTCGCTGTGTTGTTCAATAGACTAGTTTACATTTGTCATTCGTGTACATTTCTGGATAGTCTATCTTCAACGTTTAATGTGTGTACTCGTGAGTTAACTGACAAGTATTCCGTTTAACAATGGTAGGATATTCATATCCTGAGTATGAGTTTTACATACGGTTTTTTTTTTTTTTTACTATACCTTATTGATATCCAGTGTAATTTTATTTGAAAATATAAACGAGCTTAAATATTTTGCCAACTTCAATACGATTATATCTATATATATATTAATTTTTTATTAGTTCTTTTCAGCCGATGTACTCTACAGCCTTCCACTGAGGTGAAGATATAAGTAAAAAAAAAAACAAAAAAAAAACAATCACAAAAGATCATATCGGACGAGAGGAGATGAAATATGATGAACTTTAAATCGAACAAATCCACAAAATCCAATGGCACTAATTTCATATAGCGTCCTGACATTGACAAGCGAGAAATATATCAAAAGCCAGCGCATATATATATATATATATATATATATATATATAATTACTCTATGTTACTTCCTGACGCCAAGTCAAATCAAGCGCCGATTTCTTTAGAATGACAGCAGCACTGATAAAAGGAAATGAATACCAACAGTTTCTTTAAAGAAATGGCACATTAGAACATATTGCTCATGCCATGATAAATTGGATATTCTTTCCGGAGATACAATTGACAGCAAGATAAAACCGTGCTTTGAGTTCCAGAAACCAGACGAAGCTTAAATAAATGATAGATTACACTCCATAATCTCATGAATAACAAATGTCTATTATTTAGTCATAATATGCCGAATGTGACTGCATATAAGACGAAGTATTTTTTCCAAAGAAATTAGCTAAGTCGAGGCCTTTCCCAGGTTAATTTTATTCCCAGCGCTTACTACCCTATATTATAACTTCTTTTCAGATTGTTATTTCTACCTATCACAGCGCAACAACAGCGGTAATATTAATAATAATAACAATAATATTATCACCATTTCTTGAGAACGGTTTTTCATTCAACCTAGAAACCTTACATTACGGATGTCAACCAACATGTCGTACGTCCTCAAAACAGATAGAAAGCTTACGACCCCATAACGTTGGAACACCGGCTGCCATACGATCACCGAAGTTAAGCAACGTAAAGCTTAGGCAGTACCTAGATGGGTGACCGGTTCGGAATACCAGGTGGTGCAAAGTTGAATGTGCGGGGAGTGTGATGGATAATGGCTGGGAATTATTAATCAGAGATCCAGTTGGATTCGCTATATTCACTTACGTGCAAATAGCCTGAGGAAAGGCATGGACCCACCTCTTCATCACCAAGATATTGGTAAATTAGTAAAGACTGTATCACTAAATTATCATTACCTAAAAAAATAAATTCTCACCATCTAAAAATATGTTTGGGCTTTAAATAAGCTGCAAATGGTTGATAAGCCGTAGAAAATGAATGAATCAAATTAAACCAAACAGCATCTTACCGAGAATGTTTACGATGCCAAACAAGGCAGATTTCTGAGGCAATGGGATATTAGGCTTTATTCCAATTTTCTTAATATAGGCCATTAAGTAGAGTGATATAGGCCCCAAGCGCTCAATAGCTGGGACAATAGTGAACTCGATGTCCCACATTCTTGCAACGTATGGTATTATTACGTTTAATAATATTTTATTGCGTGTTAGAGACAGAGAGGCATGCAGCTAGAATGATTATATGTATGTATATATATATATGATGCAAGATTCTCTGTTATAAAACGAATCGAGTTCACCTGTCACTGGCGTGTTTATCTAAAAATAAATACGTTTAAATTCATCTTCACCTGCCGTGCGCCAATGGCTTAGGAGTAGGTCTCAGACTAATAACAAATCAGTCTGGTTTCGATTCCGGCTTGAGGCAATCGGATGTTTAGCCCTACTTATGAGCTTTGAAACAGCGAAACAATCTGTCTGTGGATATATATATATATATATATATATATATATAATGTGTGTGTGTGTGTGTGTGTGTGTAATATTTTCTCCGGACTTTTGAAGACGAGTAGATATTTGTCCCTTGTTTCCAGCGCCTTCTAAAATCTGCTTCCACAATATAATTCTAATATTCCCGACTCAACTTTAAAATGCTATTCACTAATTAAATTTTGACCTTTTCAAGTCTTGAGTCAGCTGTTATCTTTACTTCATAGCCTCAAGAATTACACTTCTTGTCCATTCTTACACTAATACAACACGACACAGTAACCCTCTACCTTGAGTGACTCTTGGACCTTCAAATGGGTGAACATTAGTTAAAAAAGGATGGATATCGGATGACTTTGAACTTGAAGTGACCAAAATTATAGTTGTCAGGGATACATTTTCACAGGAGTTTGTTCCCCAAAGTAATGGCCAGTTCTCTGAGGTCCATGAAATCAATGCTGGCGTCTCAAAGGTCTACTCCCGATCTCTACCACCATTTTGCTTTATATTAACGAGCCTTGATAGAAACACTTCCAGATCCTTACCAAATACATACAAAGTACACACACATATATATATATATATATATGTGTGTGTGTGTGTGTGTGTGTGTGTGTATAAATAATTATAATTTAGGCTCTACTTTTGTATTGAGTGCTGTTTTTAAAAAATAAAAAAAAAATACTAAATATTTTGGATTATTTACCTAACGTGTTTTTCCTATTTTTCTATATATATATATATATATATATATATATATATATATATATATATGTGTGTGTGTGTGTGTGTGTGTGGATGATACCACTGTTCACCATACAATAAAAATATCTTGATGACCTGTGTCTGGTAGCTGATATCTCATGTCTCAAAGCGCAATGGAAAAAAAAAAATTGCTTTGTGTGTTTATATCTGTGTTCGCGTGATGAAGATAATCAGGGGTCAGACTAACGCTTTACCATTTCTGGCATCGGGTGTTTTAATTTTTTTTTATTTTCTTTCGTTGATAATTGAGTAGTGTTCATTTGATGACAGTGACAATTTTCGCCCAAAAACACATCGGCCATTTATCTGCAAGTAGAATTTCTCATTGATCCAAAGTGAAGCGTAATATATGACAAAGCAGAATGGGTCGCGAACGACGTACGTCTGCAGCGCGATGGAGTCGAGGGCGAGCAGTGTCGAGCTTTCACAACAGATTTTGTGACCACCTCCCTGACTGCTGCCGGGCCTTTCGGGAATAGAATCCAGAATCGAACGAGAAACTTTGCCGAACTTTGCCGTGCGGCGTATTCATAAATCATAAACTCGGCCACCGGTAGAGGTTAATGAGAAAAGCAAACAAACACATCGATCCATTATCTTCGATAGCTTGTTGATCTATGCCTACGATCAATGCGAAACACGCATCCACACACACACACACACATATATATATATATATATATATATATATATGAATCTGTAGATGACCTCGCTAATCAAACATCTTTTCTAAAGGAGGAGGATAAAAATAACACTTCCTACCGCTGCAGTAGACGTAAAGCTTCATTTTGGTGGTTTTAAATACATTGCCTATATTTTATATATATATATATATATATATATATATATGTTTGATTAAATAATATAGACAAACAGTGTTTTTCTATTTATTTTATGTAAATTATTTTCATAACGTCTGATAAGCTTAATAACATTATCATTAAATATTTTTGTTTTTATCACAATAAAAGTTAGCTGCGGTCATTATTTTCTTTCAGTTATCTTATTTACACGTTTTATCGTTGCTTGGAAATCATCCATGTAAACAATCACAGACTAGCATCACTGTCTTGTCCGTATATTGCTTAATATGTTGTACAGTAATTGACATCTTTGATAATGGCTTAAGCCGAAAGCTTAGATTGGATTAAAAAATATGTATCAATATTGTGATTTTCTTTCTTCGTTTAATGATAATGTTATTAAACATCAGACGTTATGAAAAGAATTTAGATAAAATAGACAACACTTGTCTATATTATTTAATGAAACATGTACATGTAAAAATGCTGCCTAAATACATACATAATATATATATATATATATATATATATATATATATTTATATATATATAGGATTTTGAGAGAAGAGAGAGAGAGAGAAAATTTGGTTTAATAATTTAGGCGTATTATGTATATTTATTTTAGTTCTAACTCTTTCAAGTCCACGAATTAATTTCTTGATGGGTGTAGAAAATTGATGAAGCAACATTCTTAAATTTTATTTCAAATAATTTTTATTTTTCTAAGTACTTTAAATCACATTTCAGGCCATCTCCAGGGGTTGCATATCTATGGATGTGTTATGCGTTAACACCGTAAAATCAAAATATTTTTCACCACTATGCAAAGAATGTAACCTATGTGATTATTTTTTAAAAAAAAAAAGTAATTGCAGTATTTGTAATTGTAGTATATATCACTTTGTTGCTAGAAACAATTAAGAACTTCGTTGCCATACTCGTTGTTGACTTACTTTATTTTGGGCTGCAAAGGGCTTCCAGAATTTAAAGGTTTTGCTTATTATTATCTTGATAAAGCACTGATTTTCGACTAATATCTGTCTAAACTGTGAATGTTGATATGAGTGTCCCTTGAAATGTTCTGAGATTGAACTATGACCATTCAAGTGAAACGTAAGTCTTCTTGTCATTGTCGTAAAACCAACATAAGTATAATCATTTTTATCAGAGATGCAATCTCCCTAAAAACATTTAAATTGATATACGATGTTTATATATACGATAACATAAAGAAAAAAATAGGACGCGTATATCAATCTAAGATGTTTCACTTTTATTAAAGGTTCATCAGAGACTGAGAGAAATCGGACAAAAAGAAAGAAACTTTAGTATTTTCAATTTTGTTTGGGTCACTACTCATTGGTCAGTCGTTTATCACGTGCATTAATACCGTAGATAATTCTATATGTATGCAAGTTTGTGAAGATTCTTTCATGTCTAAGAGGGTATCGGATGGCAATGTGCATTCGAAATTGTGTATGTGTGTCTGTCTAGGAGGAGTTCTAATGTTATCCCCATTGTGCGTTCAGCTTTCACAGCGGGGTGGCATTTCACTCTTATCTGGAACTGATCTTTTTAAGCACGTCCCAACTGACCGCACAAACGTCTAACATTCAAAACATTATTTAAGAACATCAAACACAGGTTTCACAAAAACATTCTAAATATAGAATTTAATGTTTTAAAAATAAATGCTTGTTTCAGTAGAGGCCTCTATTATTTCCTATTTTCACATTTCATGACTAATTTTTCATTAATTCTCATATATATATATATATATATATATATATATATATATATATATATATATATATTATATATATATATATACACAAAGTACAGTTAATAGATTCGTTGGTATATGATCCCCAGGTTGATCCTAGTAACGCAATAATGTATTAAAACTGATCCAAAGAGAGATCCATTGATTTTATACATATGGTTTTAAACCTTTGTATTTGCTAAAAAAGAGCGAGAATCTGGTCACAGAACAGAATTTTTCATTATATTATTCGGACCTTTGACCTCATCTTTGTTGCCGTATTTATCAAAAAAAAACATTTCGACCGTTGTACGCTCCGGCCTTCTTCAAATTATTTGGAATGTCGAACTGAACCCTTTATTTCGCTCGCAAGGAGGTAGAAATAGTTCTAGTTCCACGTGCCATGTCTAATGGATGTCAATTATCAGTTACCTCCTTTTAATTCACCTCTCCAAGTTCTCTAATATCTTAGCCATGTATAATACGCATTTGTTTCTAAAAGCTAATAAGCAAGATATGGACAATAGTCCGAATAATGTAAATAGTGTACATAATACCTCATCTCAGAAATATAGAGAAATACGTTTACATGTATTTCAACACTAAGATGATGCCTAGTTGAAAATTTAGTGGTACGTTTGATTTCATGAGGTTGAATTCCCAAAGTTTTGTGATGTACGGTAGCCGTTCTCACCCTGGTCGATTTGTCAGGAAGGAGACTTCCTGATGTTATCGGTCTGGGAGGATGATCCCAGCGTGCGGCACCTTTGGAAAGTGCCTGAGAACCATACCATAGGTTGACCCAAGCCTTATAAGTGAAATTGGGTAGACGGAACACTTTCGGGCCGTCGATAGCTGGGATAGCACGAAGTCACAAGTCATCGTGACCGAGGGGTTGAGTG